CACACACACACACACACACACACACACACACACACGTTTGTGTTTCTATCCTTATTAGGACCGTTCATTGACTTCCATTCATTTCCAGTAATTTCTACAGCCTAACCCTGACCACCAACCCTAAGGCTAACCTCACAGGTACCTTCCTGACCCTAAAACTAACCTAAACTCAATTCATACCTTGGTCCTAAACCCAGCCCCCAGCCCAAAAATGGAGTTCCACCATATTAGGACTGGTCTTTTGTCCCCATTAGGACTAATGGTCTTAACAAGATAGGTGTATATACTGGAAACGGTCCTAAATAGGTAACAAAAACAAGTACAGAGAGAGAGAGAGACACCCCCATGCTATGTTTCTTTACCCTTGTGGGGACTTTCCATTGACTTCCATTCATTTACTYGTCATTTCTATAGCCTAACCCTGACCCCTTACTCTAAAGTTAATCACTCCGGTACCTACCTGACCCTAAATCTAGCATACACTTAATTCACACCTTGTGGGGGACTTGGCTTTGGTCCCCATAAAGAGCATTCAGCCACCGCGAGGCTGCATTTTCCTGAAAAATCGTCCCCACCAAGTAGCAAAACATGGGCCCACACACACATTTGTTTTTCTATCCTCATGGGGACTTTGCATTGACTTCCACTCATTCACTGGTCATTTCTATAGCATAACCCTGTCTCCTTACCCTAAACTTAATCCCCACTGTACATACCTGACTCTAAATGTAACCTGATCTAAACTCAATCCACACCTTGGTCTTAAACCTAACGCCTGACCCACTGATGAGGACAAAAACTCAGTCCCCATTAGGAACAGTAGGTCCTCACAAGGCTGTGTGTACCAGGAACATGGTCAAAAACTGTCCCCACCAGGTAACAAAAACACACAAACACACAAGTTTGTATTTCTATCCTTGTTATGACCATGCATTGATTTCCATTCATTTCCAGTTGTTTCTATAGCCTAAACATGGCCATTTACTCTCCTAGAAGATAACTAACCCCAACCTAAACTCAATTCACACTTAAGTCCAAAACCAAACCCCTAACTGGAAAATGGAAATCCACCTTATTAGGACTGGTCTCTGGTCGCTGCAGAGACTACTGGGCCAAGGTAGGTGTGTATACTAGAAACTGTCATAGAAAGGTAGCAGTACACACAAAGAAGCACCTTGCTGTTGCTGCACACACATTCTATATTCTCATGTTTTTTTTATGTTTTATACAATGAACTGTTTAATTTGTTAGCAATTCTTTTTTTTATTTACCCAATTTGTGTATAAGCCCAAACATTGTGCTGATTACTAAAAAGAAGAAAGTTTAAAAGGGGCACATAAACTTTTTATTTACTTTCTCTAGGTTTGATAGTATGAATATCAATTGCATATGCCAAAACCAATGCAAAAACTTCACAACAATGTTCTGTCACTTTTTTGGCCACCTTGTCTGAAAATGTTACTTTTCGTGATTGAAAAAGAATTGTAAAGAAAATGACGTTACTTTCTAAGCCACGGATAAAAGAAATCCAATCACTTATCTCCTCCTTAAACCAGTCTGTATTTTCTGTACCAAGGAAGTGGAAAGCAACATTTCTTTGCAGTTGGTTTTAGCTTTGCTTATTTATTTATAACTTCAGGAAAAAATTTGCTAATACAGCTATTTTTATTATTTTGTCTAGCATCCATATCCATATCTATACAAGAAAATTATATTTGTTATCCTCTTTGCTGCCATTTCATTGTTATTGAAGCCAAATGAAGAAAAGTCCAATTTCCTTTTACTTTTGAGTGCACCAGTAACAAAAGCCAATGGAAAATAACAATAATAATAATAATAATAAAATGTTATCAAAATTGAGCCCAAACAAGCAACAGTTTTTGATGTTGGCCCTAAAAAACCTTTACAAAAACAAAGAAAAATGGGCCCCATGATGAAAGTCTAGAGAGAAATGCATGGATAAAAGTGTTGCTTCGTGTTTGTGGTGCATCATTTTATTACCATCACCTAATCACAATGAAAAACACAGATGATTAATGCATTTGGAAAAAAAAATAATAAAGATGTTTTGCTTAAAACTGGAGCCTTTTGAGCAAAGAGGCTGTAAGCATGTTCAAAATGTAAAATACTGTATTAATTTGAGCAAAACACAGATGCTATTGAATACAAAGAAGAAGAAAGAACATTAAACATACAATGACTATCAAAAGCCAAGATAAATAACATCGTACACAGGGTGAAAGCTCACACATGCCTATTTTTTTCCATCAATTAGTTTTCATTAGAGAAAATTACAAAGTTTGAATCAGCATTGATGCTTGGTTGATGATGGTCTGTATTCCTGCTATGAGTAGATGTGTGCTAAAATTTGAACACAACAAACCCACCTGACTAATGTGTGGAACTGTTGCTGCTGAAAATGATGTGCTAATGTGATAAATGATTTTGATGGTCCAAAAATAAATCTGTTATGCAACCAAGAGCCAAATTATAGTCAAAACACACAGGCACATTATTGCACAATGTGTATCGTCAATAAGCTGTAAGGACATGGCTCATTTGGTTACTGGTTGTTCTTAAAAATTCCCAAATCTCTGAAAGTTAAACCAGAATTACACTGCAGAGGGATAACTCAAGAGTTACTTACTCTAAGTGGGCTGAATATTAAGAACACAACTTCAACACCAGAATGGTGTTTTACCTGAGTGCCTTGGCATTAAAAACCAATTACAGTGCTATCAGCTAACTGAGCCAATTTACTGCCATCAAATACAGCCACCAGTGGAGTTTTTGAAGATTTTTTCTTTCTTTTTAAATTTCTTTTTGGTCTCAAAGTATTTGACCTTTTATTATTCACGGGTTCACTGTCTATTCAAAAACAGTTTTAACATTTCTGAGCAGGCACTCCTGTGGTTTATGTAATGCATCTGCTGCTGGCAGATAGGGAAGATTTCCAATGGTGGGCCAGTGCCAAACAAAAATGCAAACCCACTATTCATTTTTTCATTAGGTCATAGGCAACTTAAAAACATATTGAAACAAATTTAGCTTTTCTGCTAAAACAGCTGAATATAGAAGATGACCTCTAACAAAAATTATATTCCACTTGTGAAAACAAATTACTTTTTAGCTGAATACAGAGTTCACATATTTTCTCCAGTTGTTTTCTAAAAGCAAAATAAAAAATCTACGTGAAAAACCTCAAATATTCACCTTAATCTCTTTTGTGCCTTGTTTCCTCTCGTCATACTTTAAGCAATCCTGACCATTTAGATGGATTTCTTTCACTGACTGTTCACTTGATTTGTTAACCTTTTCTAACCAAAGGTAATGTTTGTAAGCCGACTTGTTTCAGAGCTTTTTTCTTCTCACAAGAAAGACAGTTCATGCTCTCCATTCACGTTTTATATTTGTATTTACTTTAACAGTGTTAAAGTAGAGTGATTTTTAAGATACCAAGGAAATGCACCTGAATGTACTGCCTCACATTTATTACCCAGCCAAAGTTGCAGAATGTATTTTTTTCTTTTACATTTTTCACTCAAAGGTGACAAATACAGAGTAAGAGGCACCAAAGGCTAAAGATCCAAGGTTCACCCATGTGGTTCCACCCCACATATGAGTTAAAGTGATAAAGTCCCTGAGAACTGCAAGTTGTAGCTTTAGAGGTATTTTACGTGTTGATGTCTACATCTAGCACATGGCTTCTGAAGTAAGAATATGTTGATGTAAGATATCCAGTCTTGATGACATGATTGTGAGACGTCAAGAGCGTAATCACCATCATTAAAGTGTGTGTGTGTGGGTGGGGGACACATTTTTTAAAGGTCTTTTTTTTCTGCTTCGGCTGAAAAAAGTGGGCCACACAGATATTGGAAGTGGGGGGGACATGTCCCACCCAGTGCCTATGGCGTTTACTCCCATGTGAGACATGCTTTTTCGCGTGGACAATTCATACTGAACTCAAACTGCAGAGGATGTTCTGGGAAGCCCACCCTCTGCAGCCCACATCACACACAAACAGCAACACCACAGCAACAGCACAGTTGCCACAGTTCATGTTTATTATCATTGGAAGAATTGGAGGATAATCTGGTATTTTTGTGGTTAACCAAAGAGAAGAGATATTTTGTAAATTTGTTATGAAAAGATCACCACTGTTTCCAACAGATGGTGTGTTAACGTGTCCCTACACTGCTCGGCCGAGGAAAACTCCCTCCCGGTCAGCAAAGCCACAGAGATCTGCCCAAGATATTTACTATCACCATTGTATTTTACTATTACCATTTGTTTTTTGAACCAGGCAAATCCCAGCAAGACAAATTCTCACCTCTTATGGACTATAAACCAGGCTCCACTGACATTTAACAAAACCTTGTTATGGTGATCTACTCATATTAGATCCTCTGACACTCTGACTTCTATCTCAACATTATTGCAGAGCAGGAAATCTTGCTCTAAAGTACACCACTCAGGTGTGTCTAATAATAGTTTTCATATCACCCAACATGCCCTATAGGTGTCTCCTACAGACCAAAACTTATAAAAACATGGGTTTGCCAGCTTTGAAGCTAACATGAAGCCGCTGATGGCCATTTCTTATTGTTACATATGAGCATTTGTATATAAAATGATGTACTCCACTTTTTTATGCATACATACTTTTCATGTACATGAGGCCGTGGTGTTTGCTACCACAGATCACCATCAAGGTCTTGTGAAATCCCTGATTCAGCTTGCTTGTTAA